TGTCCTTGGTCCCGCTATCAGGGGTGAAGGTGAGCCTGTGCCTGGGGCACCCCTTTGGTAGCGTCAGTGGGGATGCGGGATGTGCTCCACATGCCTTGAGCTCAGCGACTGCAGGAAGAGAAAGCCCGCTCCTGGCTCTCTTTCGTCCATTTAGTTATTCCCTCAAGTAGGAAGAATATGATGCTTTCCTCCAGCTATGAGTTCAATTTTTACATTTGAAATATTACTCGTGGAAGTAAACAAGCCCGTTGTTTTGTAATCCTTGCATTTAGGTGACTGATGCAAATGCCTTTTAACTCCCAAAAGTAAATTGCCGCAGGTTGCATTCTGCTAGATCCTGATTGCTAGATTCTGATGCGTGTGCCAGCGTGAGGGTTATTCCCAGACCAGTCATAATTCACCGGCTCTTTTAAAAAGGGCTCCACTGAAACATTCAGCTAAATCCCAAGATATGTTAAGTCATTTAATAAGTGAGTCCTCACTGAGCGCTGCGTGTCTGCTGTCTTTAGTAAAGCTTAAACTGCAAATTCCATATTTCATGGCTTTTGCACCTGAGCCCCTTCCCATAGAAAGATCACCTTCTGCGGAGACTGACCTGTAGAAGGAAACCTTTCCTTGTTATTTCAGTCTAATGAAGATTTTCAGCTTCTGGATTCCTCACAAAGGAATAGTATAGTGTAGAACTAGTGTTACAATGTTTACAGTGCCTTATAATTTTCGTTTTTGTTGTCTTGTTTTGTAGCTACTTGTCGAATAATTCCCAGCAAGCTCAGATAACATTTTCGAGTAAATGTCATTCCTTTCAGAAAATTAGTAATACACCTGAAAATAATAGATCTTTCCTCTCTTGTACAATCTGTTGGTTTCTGGCTTTTTTTGTTGTTTTTTAGCCAACAACTTGCTTGACACCGATTCCTTGAGGCTTACTCTGTACTAATGCCTTGAAAAAATCTATGTGGTCTTTCCACAAGACGTCTCAGTCATCAGTCAGGCTTCAGTGAAGGTGGAAAAGCAGCCAAACTGTGGTGTCCATACAAGATGTTCTTAAAATCCACTTGTGTTGATATGCGATCTAACTTTCAGGTCAGTCTTTTTTTAGTTAGCTGGGAAAAATATCACTAATGATAGTCCCTGGTGCCCTTTTCAATGGCTTGTGCACACAGGACAGAAGTGCAGGGAGCAGTGCTGAAATGCTGTCGAACATTTGGGCATTTGAGTGTCACTTCCCAGAAGTTGGTTACAGGAAACGTGCATCTACATGGACCGCTTCTCTCCTCACCGTGAGTGGCAGCATCCTGTTCAGGTGCCCTCAGCGGACTTTGGCCAACCCGTCGTCCCCCCCCAATACTCTAAAATAGAACTTGCAATATATTTACAGAAGAAGGAATGTAACTTTTATAACAAGGTAAAAGATTTCACTTCTGCTAGAGCAGAAAGTTCTTTGAGCTTCTGTTTGTGCAAAAAATTACGTAAAGCGAATTGCCTAAACTTTTATCGTACTAGTGCGTTGCAAATATCAAGGGATGTGTTTGCTTTTGTGCTTGCATGTACAGAGAGTTAATGGGCAAACTGTTGATGCAGTCACATCGAACTGGGTCTGTTGAGATTTATTGTTAGTAGCTTACCTCCCTGGCATTTTAGGCCAAGGACAGAGGCAGGGTGTAAGGAACAAAATGATAGATATCTAAAGGAGGGGAAAAAAAAACCCAAACCACAATGTTAGATTATTTGTAAATTAGAAGGAAACTTTAAGGATGGCTGTTAAAAGGCTTATTTGCGAATTGCTGCCTCTTGAAGATTCGAGAGTGCAAGTGCCTCATGAATATCTGAAGAAAAACCAGTCCATTTTTAAGACCAAAAAAATCACTGTATCTAAACAAACGCAAGTGCTTTGTTAAATCAAGAAGATGGCGGTTACAGAGTGCAACAGACGAAAGTCAAATGAGATGCAGAATTCAAAGCAGTGAGGTCAGTTAAGTAGCAGTGGTTTACTAGAGACTGTATGAAATATGTCATCAAGATTTTAAGTTGATTACATTTATTTTTTTTAAAGTATGTAATTGCAGTCATTTATTCTCAGGTTCATTAAAAATTGAAGTTGTTTGAGCTCTTTAGCCCTTGCAGAAGGCTGAGTTTGGCAGAAGTCAATCTTCTAGAAACAGACAAGGGAGGATGAAGCCTCCTTGGACAAAGAGCAACAAACGTAGCCCATGCCGAACCAAAGCTGCCTCTAAATGCCAGGTAGTAAAATATTTGGTGTATGTCACTGTTAAGGACACAGTTAGAACCACTGTTGATGTTGACTTGTGCAGTATTTTCCTCTGTATGTAAATGTTGCAGTCTAAAATTATACTCTCCTTTTTTTTTTTTCCCCCCCATCCTTAACGTGCGTAAAGTGCTTCCGCTATTAAGGCCCTTGTACCTTGTCACTTCCAAATGCACACTGTGCCATGACGAATTTATACGTGCCTTTGAGGTATATATTTTCTTCTCTGATTACTTGCATGCAGTTCATGGAAGGGTGATCGCTACCTTCACAGGGTCATGGTCCCGCAGACTATTCTGTTGGCAATCAGAGCTCTGCCGCGGTTATCGGTCTAAGTCCTGGAGCGTTGTGCATGCTGCATTTCTCTACGGGCAGCGTGACTGCGAAGACCAAAAGTAATGTCTCTTGCTACTGTCTCTTCATTGAAGTTAGATAATCTTCATAATCTGGAGTTTTTTAGAAACCAGGGACTAGTTTTTATTGTAGGACAATATTTTTGTAAACACTTTTCTGAGGAGACAGATAAACCCTCTTTATATGTCATGATTGCTTAAGCATCTGAAAATGTTGCGTTGGTGGGCAGCTGTGGTAGCTCTGTGTCCTTGGAACTTGTGCTGTGATGCCCCTTGGCTCCTCACGGACTTACTAATCTTCAACATGCAAGAGAAGACAGAAGCTGCTGCTACTTTTTCCCCCCGCTATTTCCTAATTATCCCTTGCAGTATATTTTTCTGCTACTTTCACTACTTTTTCTCTGTCATTTGGTTACACTAATTCTTCCATCCCTTAAGCTCCTCCTTTTCCCTGCAAGAATTTGTACGTGTAGTATTTTCTGTAAACCACCACCTTACAGGTTTGCTCTGCACAGTTAGTCCTTGCCGAAACGCCCAGTGCTGTATGGAAATGGCAGATTTTTATTTCCCTTGAGAGCCGTTCGAATGGAGGTGTAGAGCCTTCTGTTGGGATTAGTGCTGGTGAAGCTGTAGCCGGAACTTAGGCTTTGCCTTCAGGTCTGAACAAGATGACTGGAAAATATCAAAACAACCGAAGCCGTTAGGGTGATTGTGGTGGTTGCTGTCTTGGGCAGGTTTTTTGAGGGAGACTTTTCTCGGGGGACCTTTTGTTCAGATGTCCTCAAATGTGGATTGCTGACCTTTCTTTGCATCATCGAGGCACAATAATGAGGGCAATACACAGAAGCTAGTGGTTTTTATGGATTTTAGAGAAATTGGTAACTAAACATAAAGCTTTTGAACTGCCACAGGGTTGGTAATCAGCTCGTTTTCCCTGGTGAAATCCTCTTTCCATTAAAATTAGTAGTGGTCTCCCGACAGCTGTATGCCAGTTCATGTTATTGGGTCGGAGTGTAATCATACAGATGGTATTGCACAAGAAATTGTGTTGATAGCCATAAAACACGTGGGTAGTAGCTGTGTTTCTCACGGGCCTAAAAGGGTGTTGCTCCTCTAACTTGGGACAAGTCTTCAGTGCAAAGTTTAGGGATGTTTGGCAGTATTTCTTCCCATCATCTCTTTTGTGTTATAAAAAGTAGTTTCAGAATAAATGTTTGAAAAAACCAACCTTATTGTGGTGTTTTCTTCACTAGCACTGCAAACCCGTTTGGTGGGCTTAAGACCAGTAATTAGTTCTACTGTTTTATCCAGAAAAAGCATCAGCCCCACTCTGAATGACTCGCCCCAGATCAATAGATTTATACAGAGTCGCTGCTGTTACAAAGTGAAGGTGTAAGGAAACTTTACTCCGCGATTGGAATAATTTATTTGGGCCCTTAATACAGAATGCTATGTGATAAATATTTTTAATTAATTTAAATGTTCTGCAGCTAGTGACGTTCACAGATTTTCTTCGTATCTGTTGATGAACTTCAAGAGAGATCATTTTTTTTAATATTTCAGTGTGAGAAAACTGGGTAGTGTTAATTTTTCAGAAAAATGAGGTCTTAGAGAAGTGTGTATAAATACTCTGCGTGCAAATCTGAGGCATCGGAGTGCAACGTCTAGGGTTGTGGTAATGCTTGACATTTGGAAAGTAAGTTGGAGTGTCTTACGCAGGAAATTAGGTACATCATGGGTACTGTGAACTGACTAATAGAGCTGTTAGGCAAGACTTTAACTGACAGGGTGGGACAAGAAAAGAAAAAAAAAAGCATGTTATATATGTTGAATAGATTGCTGGTCCTAATTAAGTGCTACCTATGTCTTGGCAGACACAGTTTTCACGTCTTTATGCTGCAATTTAGTTTTCAGTTGCAGAGCAACTCAAGGTATAAAACCTCTTTTTTCCTGGAGAGCTTTATGTAACTGTTCTTTCTCTCCCCCCCCGCCCCTCGATGTGTCACTCTTGCTGTAGAAGATTTATTCCGGTTTTGGTTGTTATTTCAGTGCTTTCATTTGTTTGAGGTGAGATTGGGTGATGATTGTTCAATGGAGAAAAAACTTATAATGTTAAATAGATCGCTGTATATGATGGGTCTCATCGTCAACTTAAATTATTGTGCGTTGCAAGTGCATCTTCTGGTATTTGTCTGAAATAGCTTCAAGCATCAGAGGCAGTTTTTCATTACAGATAATAAGGTTCAGACTTTTCAAATGTCACCCGAAACATAAAATACCAGAAACCCTAGTTAGAAAACAGTACTTCTAGTGTTGCAGTTGTTATGAAAATATATAAAAATGGAGATGCACATGCAAATTTCTGCCTCGTGTTTTTGCAGGCACTATCCTGGTTGACAATATGCTGATCAAAGGGACAGCAGGAGGGCCGGACCCCACCATTGAACTCTCCTTAAAGGACAACGTAGATTACTGGGTGATCCTCGATCCTATCAGCCAGATGTTATACCTAAATAGCACTGGCCGAATTCTGGACAGAGACGTAAGTTTGGGGGTTGCCGTTTGTTTTCTTGTCTCATCATAGACATTAATTTGTAAATCCGTGTATGCTCACAGAAAGACCGTAAACCGAGAGCTGCTAGAATATAATCACTGGGTCTATATTTTGGCCCCAGATGGCTGTGAACAGAGTTAATTTGATTCTTTGCTGGGACTTATTTGGAGCTCGCAGAAACTTGACCACGTGTACAATTATCACATGTGGGTGAACACAACAATAAAGACCGAACAAATAGTTGTTTGGGTTGGCAGAAATAGATAATGAGCCAAACTTGACTTGTTTACTGAATTAAAAACATATTCTGGTTTGCTGCTTTTGTCTGGAAGAAGCACTGCTTACCTTGTGTCCCGTAACATGTATTAAAAGCCTGGTCTGGTCGTTTGCGTTGACTTACGAGATGTGTGAGAGAGCAAAGGAATTGTGAATATTGCAATTCTCTTATGAAGCCTGACGTATTCAACTGAGAATGTGTTCATTTAGATTCTTTTTTCAAGGCAGCATAAAAGTCGTGTGGTATGCTCATTCCTAACAGCATTAAAGAAATATTGTCAGGCTAAGTTAGATTTTTATAAAAAGAAAGATTAAAAGCACAAAATAGGAGTGTTCTCATCTGTGCCAATTTCATTGAAGAGAAACACTTCTACAATAGAGATACGTTCTTACAGCGTTACAGCATCGCTGCAGTTCATCAGAATCCGAAAGGAAAATTGACTCAAAAGTGACCTTAAGCGTCATGGAAGGAGTGCTTTAAAGATCAGGAGTTCTCCTTGGAGTGCATGAAAGTTTGTTTTGTATTAGCTTGATTGATTGTCTTCTCCATGTGTTCTAAACTATATTCATAAGTACCAGAAACAACATGTGAATTTTTCTTCATTTCCATTTTTAGTGTAAAAGAGCGAATTGAATTCAGCCGTTCTTAATTTCGTTTAAACTCACAAACTCTTCTCATGTGTGAAGCAAAAGGGTATGCAGCACAAAACATGGCAGAAGGGACACAGTGGCAAAAGAGTTCGCCCTCAAGTGCCAAGCAGCAAACTGCCCTTTGAGGAGACAGGCAGGTGCTGGAATATGTTTGGCTTTTCAGTTTTATTTGAAGTCAGAGCAAAAAGAAAGAGCCCCTACCAGGAGGTGAGGCTTAAGAGCCACCCTAGGAAACGTAGGGTCAATTCTTCAGCCCACACGAGTCTGCATATCCATATGGCATTAGGAAACAAAATTGTGTCCTGTTACTTAGTGCTAATTCTGTTTTTCCATTCCCATTTTGGTGATACTTTTCTATCTACAGGGTCGTTCACCTGAGCTGCTTTACCTGAATCTAACTAGATGCTTTACCAAAGCAACCGTGTCAAATTATTTGATTTCCAGTGTTAGTAACAGTCTAACTAAACTCACAAATATCTTACGTTATTATGAATACATACGGACACTTTACAGTGACGTTCTTTGCAAGAAGTAGACTGAAGTCGCGAGGAAACAAGTGGAGGGGATACATTTTCTTAATTATATATAGGTAATATCGGTGTTTTTACATTGGTATTGAAGGGGTTATTTCCTTATTTTTTACTATGAACTGTAACACTTCTTATCCCTAGTAATGTAGTGCTGGGTAGAATTACTCATTTGTGTTTGTTTACGTTTACTGGGATAGGAAAAGCAAATCTGAGATTTAAGGTAATTGAGATTTTGGGTGTGCGCCCCACTGTAGCTGTCTGGCGTGGTCTCAATGAATTGCTCTAACTCACAAGCCAAAGAAAATGAAAGCAACCCACAAAACCCCCACTGACTGAGTAAAAATGTGAAATTTATGTCAGGGACTTGATTAATATGGCTCTTACTTAAAGGCTCTTTCCAGCCTTCAGAACCAGAGCTATACAAACTCCCTAAAATGCAAATACATTCAAGAGTGTGTGCAGTTCCTTTTTTTCTTTTCAAACAAAAAAGTAAACTATTTTTCTCATCTTTCAAGTTAAAACCATGTGAAACCTAGTAGTACCAATAGAATTTGGGGTTTCATTAAGTTGAACCTTAAAATTCAATTTTTTTATTGTGGAGCAGAAATTGTACTCTCTGATTGACAAATGGTGCATATACGATTGCATTCAATATATTTGGATATTCTTCCCATTTTTCTCTCCGATGTGCCCGCTTGTCAGCTCCCTGCTGATTCAGTTAGCCTGATCCTGTTCTTTTTTATTACTTTTCTTGAAGGAAAATCTTATTAGATGCCACTGATTGATTTTACTAAGAATGACAGTATGTTTTCCAAACAAAATCAGATAAAAGAAAATTCCAGACTTTTCTTCCAAACCTTTAAGTACTTGGGAAGGATGAGCAGCGGTAAACCAGAACTGAAGGTGAAAGGAACTGCTAAAAGCTGTTGGGATAATTTGTCCCCAGCATCATAATCAGTTTGTTACACTGTGCCATTATGTATTTATGTTTATTGTCTATAAATGCCTAGACTGCTGGCTGTTTGTTTAAACGCTTTTTTTAAATCCGAGCACTGACCCAGCAAAAATTGCATGTGTCTGAAAATAACATTGGTCCTGTGCTCTTGTCATGTTTTACCAAAGGCAACAAACTTTTTTTTCAAATGTTCTTGTGAAAAAGACCAAATCCAGAACATCGTGTATTTACGCAGGTATTGTTACAACTAATTCTGTTTTTCTTGGGCATTGCTAATATATCCAGATAAACTCAGTAGCGTTTCAAGTTGATTAAAGGTGGCCTAAAAATTCTTGGATCTTTTGCAAAGAATGCCAGCTTGAAAAATAAATGGAGATTATAATGTGTTAGAGGCTTAACTTAAGTTACAGATGATACTTGGTATGTTCCTACCTGTGTTAGAAGTTCCACTGGTAAAAGTAGAACCACATCATAGCTGGCTGCAGGTTTTTACAGCAAAGAGAATGGACTTGTAGTTAAAAGCTCATGCTGTATTTCATCACAGAGAAAGTTGAGGGTGAATATAAAAAAAAAGAAAAGGTATTTCCTGTAACACCTCCACACCACCGTAAAGCTCCCTTCTTTCCCCAAGCAGGCTGACTCTCTAAAAACTGGCCAGTGCCAAAGTCTGAAGGGTGAAGAAAGCCATATGGTTCTAAAATCCATTATAGCAGAAGTGGAAAAAACCAATCATCAATCAAAGAAACTGTAGCATTCAGAATGAGTGAAAGCATAATTACTTAGATATATAATTATGGTAGCATTGTAAGTCTCAGAATTTCAGTACAAAAACCTGTTTGCATTCACTGTATAGAATAGTATGGCACAGGCATCTTTATGCTACATTTTTAGTTGTTTATTCTCTTGAAGAATTTGAGGTTAATAACTAAGGAATTTTTTCATTTTGTCCCTTCCCATACTTGCTCGCTCTCTGCTGAGTGTTAGATAAAAAATCAAAATGGACTTGCTGTCAGTAGTTTACACGTGCCCGCCTGTTGCTTCAGCTATGCAAACCGGCACTTGCCGTGGTAGGAACGTTGTGAATAGAAGTCATTCCGGAATGCTGTATTTCCGTAGCAGTCTTTCTGAAGTCCCATTTCAACCAAAGGTGCCTCTTCCTTTGTTCTTCTTAGAATTGTTTTATTAACTCAGGTAAGTAGCAATAGCCTTTCCAGCTTGAATGTCTTTACCCGTTCATCAAGTTTGGGAGTTACTTTATTTGAATATTATGATGTTCACTGGAGTAAAAACAACAGGACTTTGGATTGTCTACACTTGAAGGTAACCAAGTTGTTTCTAAATTCCTTGGTAAATGTAAGCGATAGCATACTGAATTTATTTTTGACTTGACCTTTCAATTCCAACATTAATAAACCAAACGTTAAAATGTATGACGTTTTCTAGGTATCTTTTAATAATCAGATGATGTTCAAAAGATGTGCTTTTTTTCTTGTGGTTGTTATCAAGGGAAGCGTGAAGGGCTAATCGTGCTGGGGATTTTTATTTCTGTGTTAGCACATACAGCTGGCAAAGCTGGGGCTGCAAAATACAGCTTTGAGACATGTAAGTCCAAGTGAAATATTGCCAGCATGAGTTGTAGCCAAGACACTCTCAGAGAAGCTTTTTAATCCAGACATAGAGCCTTAAACACAGCACATGCAGGCTGATGGGCTATCAGTGAACCCGAGCCGTATTAACATCAGTGGGAAATTTAACTGTTAGTTCAGATTTTGAGTATGTATTACAAAAATGTATTTTCACTTACAGCCACCGATGTCTATTCAGTCCATTGTGGTGCAAGTCCAGTGTGTTAACAAAAAGGTTGGCACCGTTATCAACCATGAAGTACGGATTGTGGTGAGAGACAGGAACGATAACTCGCCTCGGTTCCAGCAGCAGCGGTACTATGTGGCAGTAAATGAGGTCAGAACCGCTTACCTTTTTTTCTCTTTTGTGTGGTATCGTTGCTAAATGCCAGCTTTCAGTTCTTTCACTTCTCGTTTGAAAACCCTGTAAATTCAGCTGTCTGGAACTCTCCTCCATTTGTGTCGCTTTGGAAAAACGCAAGCACAGACAGTATACCTGAGCTTTTAGCATGTAAGCTGTTCTTCGTTTTTCTTACTGAATAAGACGACAAGCACGCTTCTCATCAGGATGCTTGTAGTATGGCAGAAGACACTGGAATCTAAAGCTATGTCTCAGTGAGTGAAGCACTGAAGTCTGTTAAATTTACAAAATGTTTTACTGCATTATGTAGTCGTGTCAAGAAACCTGGAAGTAAAACAAATGTATTTATGAAAAACAAATAGTTCAAAAGGTTTTACTACCTATATTGAAGCTTGGCAAAGTGCAGTTTTGGTTTTTTGTTTCTCTTTATTAAACTATGTCTGTGAAAGAAGTTCTTTTGCTTGATCTTTTTATGAAATAGAGAGCTGTGGGCTGGACTTCTCCATATTATTTGAAGGAAAAAGTTGATTCCTTTCTTGAGCTGATACAACTTCATTTCACTTTACAGTTAAGTTTTTTTTATTTTTGCTAGGCTTGAATAATCTGTGAATAACCAGTACAAAGGATCTGTGTTTTCAGTAAGTTAGTATCCTGGGGCTTTAGTGATGAGAAGTGGAAGTGGGATGTTACATGCAGAAGTGGAAATGTCCGGACTTGAAACTAAGGGGAGAATGGAAAGATGGGTCAGTCTTCTGCAGGTAAAGGTTAGAAGAGTTATAGTTGCATTTAAGAAAACAAAGCGGTTGAATATGTAGTGTGCATTGCGTCCCTGTTGGGGTTTGGTTTTGGGTGGGTTTTTTCTGTGAAGGAACGTGACTGCTTTCATGTTGTTTGATTTTAGTAGAATTGATCTGCTGTTTCAGAAAAACTGTAGTGTTTTGTGTGTTTGGGAGATTCAGCCTTTCAGTGCATCTGCATATTTACATTGCGCAAGGGACCAAGCATGCAGTGATGTGCAGGAGATCTCTTAGGTCCCAGGAGAGGGATGGGAGAGTCGGTTGATGAGTTTAGGCCTAATTAAGGCAGAAGTATGGAGGAAAAAACCCAAAGCCCACGCGTTCTTTTTGAGTCGAGAGCTCACGTTGAGATAAGGATATACAGGTTGTTCAAACTTACTGGTCTCTTGACTGGCGACGACTTTTACATTGACATTGTTTCCCTGTAGACGAATTTTCAGCCATCCCATCTGCCGACGTTTCTTATGAAACCAGAACTTGCAGGTCACAAAATACCAGCAAAGTCCTCCGTATGCCTTCAAATTGTTTTCAAGTCAGCCTTTACTTGGTAATTGTAATTCCTATGTTTTTGCAGACCTGTTGCAGAAGTGCTTTTAGTCCTGAGTAAAGGCAGCGTAAACATGAGTCTCAAGTGCCTGTAGGGGCTGTGATGCCGGTCCCAGATGACTTCCAAGACCTGCATAATTATTGCAGTAAAGCTGAAGGCAGGTAGTATGTCAGTGCTGTAATACTAGGGAAGCAAGGTTTTCCATAATTAGAAAGAAGTCCAAAAGACCGAGTGAAAAATGCACCATTAAAAATTACTTATTTTAAGAAATCTAGCCATGTTGCAAGTATGTGCAGTCATTTATTTGCATTACTGTTGGGCAAGATGCAATGTTGCTCTTTCCACCAGTTCCAGTCCTGATTTAATTAGCTGCTTTGTTTCATTTTATCACTGTTACACTTACAGCTTCTGACATGGCACCACTGTGCCCTTCAGCAGTACCCAGTGGGTTAATGGTCTCATTAATTAACCAAAAAAAGGTTCACAAAGCATCTGACTCTCTCAAAGGTTTTAGTGAGTGATTACATTTTTTAATGATAGTTTATTCTGCTGGTAATTGGCACTGCCTCTAGTGAATTTAACTAAGGAATGCACTGGTATGAGGGTTTTGTGGTTAGGTTTTTGATTGCCTCTGGTCTTCTGGCTTCAGTTTGCTTGTAAACTAACAAGTACCAAAATATCTCTTACATAAGTTGTATAAAGCAAATCAATGGACAAGCAGGTTTTATGGTTTGCAGCTACCATACGTGTGAGCATCACAAATACCTCCTAGTTTTTCTAGCCAAGAAATTTCATCGGTGTCCATTTGAGGACTTTGTTCAGGCGCTTTACAGGGTTGTACTTGGCAGTTTCTCCTGTCAGCTGCCGTGCCTCCCTCTGGCTCTCCTACGTGGGGTGAAGAACACGCACACCGTGGCTTTATAACCGTGCTCTGGTCACTGGTCCTCGCGCAAAACATTAGGTGGACTTCCCACACGTAATACTTAATCCAGCTGCACGTACACAGTAAGCGTTGGATTTACAACTCCTGTGCTAACCAGCTTGACAGTGTGTGCGCTTTGTAGGTGTACTCTCTCCCAAAGGCATCATGCTTCCTGTATACGCCTACTGTAAGGAAATCCTGGGCAAAAATTGCAATAATCTTTTTGTTTTGGTTTGGTTTTGGAGCAAAGTCTGTTTGATTTGATGGCTTAACTTGGACGGGCAGTGCTGGTGTTTGTATTAAGTTAGAGTTAAAAATTGGTTTTAGATTTTAGCTTCTTAGGTTAAAGTGTAAAATGGAATGTTTCCCTAAAATAACTATGTGCTCTTTATGCAAAGTGTTATTATATGAGCATTTATAAATGAAATAGCTAATTGGTTAATAGGAAAAAACCCACCCTGCTTGGTTGGGGGCGGGAGGAACGAGCAAAGGAAATGCCCTACATGCGTATGTGTGCACATACATGTTTATGTGCACACTTGCATGTATATGTATAAATAGTCTCCAGTCTCTCTGGTCCTCAATAGTCATAGCAGCGGGCTAATGTGGACACAAAATAGCCGTCTCCTTAAGATTAACTGGCATTTTGTGCATAAGCTATTGTCAAGAAAGTGAGATTGGAATTAAACTATTGACTTCCTATTATTGTCTGGGTTATAAAATGTATTTAACAGAATCACAGAATCATTAAGGTTGGAAAAGACCTCCAAGATCATCAAGTCCAACCATCAACCCAAGACCACCATGCCCACTAAACCATGTCCCCAGGTGCCACGTCCACACATTTTTTGAACACCTCCAGTGATGGTGACTCCCCCACCTCCCTGGGCAGCCTGTGCCAATGCTTGACCACTCTCTCTGTAAAGAAATTTTTCCTACCTCCCCGGGAGCAACTTGAGGCCATTTTCTCTCATCCTATCGCTGGTTACCTGGGAGAAGAGACCAACACCCACCTCACCACAACCCCCTTTCAGGTAGTTGTAGAGAGCGATGAGGGCTCTCCTCAGCCTCCTCTTCTCCAGACTGAACAACCTCAGTTCCCTCAGCCGCTCCTCATCAGACTTGTGCTCCAGACCCCTCACCAGCTCCGTTGCCCTTCTCTGGACACACTCCAGCACCTCAACATCCTTCTTGTAGTGAGGGGCCCAACACTGAACTCAGGATTCAAGCTGTGGCCTCACCAGTGCTGAGTACAGGGGCACGATCCCTGCCCTGCTCCTGCTGGCCACACTATTTCTGATACAGGCCAGGACACTGTTGGCCTTACTAAAGTCCAAGTAGACAACATCCACAGCCTTTCCCTCATCCACTAGGTGGGTCACCTGGTTGTAGAAGGAGATCAGGTTGGTCAGGCAGGACCTGCCTGTCATGTACCCATGCTGGCTGGGCCTGATCCCTTGGTTATCCTGCACATGCCCCATGAGGGACGTCAAAAGGAACCTCTCCACAATCTTTCCTGGTACAGAGGTCAGGCTGACAGGCCTGTAATTCCCGGGATCCTCCTTCCGGCCCTTCTTGTAGATGGGCGTAATTCAGACAATTCCTGAGTAGTGCTGTTCCAACATGTGGCATAACTAAGCTGATCATCACTCTTGGGCTGCTGGTGCAGTGCATAGCACACCACAGAGTCTGAGCGAGCACTAGGACAGAAATGGGCTCTTCATGTTGCAGCTGGCCCAGTGCCCTGTAAAGAGTGTGTGGGTTTGGGGTTTTGTCTGTATTTTTGTCTATCTTTTTTTTGTACTTTTTTTTTCTTCTTTCTCCCTTGCTGCTTGGGTATCTGTGCTTGCGAGGCTGGGACCACTGTCTCAGTCCATAGCAGGCTCCGGCATCACCAAGACCTTAGTGCAGCACAAGTGCAGAAGCCCTTTAGAAGGCTGCTACCATTTAGGAGCAAGTTTCCCTTTTCCCTTTCTAATGCTTTTTCAAGACAAAGAACATGAGTGTCTCAGCCAAAAGCAAATCCAGCTGCTATCCACAGCATTATGAATCTCCTCATAAAAGTAAAAATGTGCTAAGGTTGATGTTAACATTTTCATGATAATTAGAAATACTCTGCAGGGTTATTTCCTTTGTGTGTCATATTTTTTTATTTATATGAAAATGTCACATCATTATTCATTTAGAAAAAAATCCTGAAAAAATGACATTAGCCTGAGGCTAAATTTGACCACGCATATTAGTGACTTAAAGATATGAGTTACTGCAGTATATTAAAACAAAGTTCTAGAGTTAGGTTGAAATTCAGAAAATCATGCAACTCAGTTAACGCTCTACAGGCAAATCTGTAGTCCTGCCACAAGGGTTTTACATGCATATAACCTAATACAGGGGCTGGAAACTAAAATCTTGTACTGCTGAGGCGCAGTTGTGCTTGTCTGTGTTTTGTGTTAAACACAACTTACCTTAAATTTTCTCTCAGCTAAATACGAGTCTAATTCTGCATTGTCTGGGTTTTATAAGACTGACTTTCTTCTGTTATTTTTTCACATGAGCCTTACCCGAGTCGTATGGAGGTGTTGGTAAGCTCAGGAGCATTTAATAACAGGTCTTGTTTGGAAATGGTAGTTACTAGAGTTACTAGAATACTGTTGGAAGTCAGTATTACTTTATTGAACATACATAGCCTTACAGCTGCTTGTAAATGAAA